AAACATACTAACAATGGCTGGAACATACATATATGAATGCTTACTTTTCATTTTTAAAAATAGACATAAATTCTTGAAACACATAACAAACCATAATACTAATACACGAAACAATCTCATAAACTATAATATACCAATACATAGACTAACAGCATCTGAGAAAACCACAGAATATGCCTGTATTAAATTCTTTAATAACTGCCTTACAGCATCAAAATAGAAACTGACATAAATAAATCTAGAGAGTCTGTTCAACAATTGCTCATACACCTTGAACCATACAAAGTGGAAGAATACCTTCAAGCTGACCTGTAGGCAGACTAATTGCTCTTACCTGAATCTAAATGTCACTGTTATTATCATTATGTTTTAATATTACTTTTATGTTAAGTGTAGGTTGTTACAGCAACCATTATAAATTGTAACTGACACCATTCTCTCTATTGGCAATTTATATTTGTATGTAACTTGTGAATCCTGAGAATAAAGCTTTTTTCTATTCTGTTCTATTCTATTCTAATTGATTCGACTGTACTAACATAAATCCCTCTTATATTGTCAAAAAAACATACAAATTCAATTTGAGAGTTATACTATGAATTTTTTTTAATGTTCTGTTAACTGTCTTTTCGATTATCCGGTGCCCTGACGGATAATCGAGGTTCCACTGTATATATATATATATATATATATATATAATATATATATATATATATATAATAAATATAATATATAATAATAATTATTATATAAATATATATTTATAATTAATAACAACTAATTGCATACAAAATGTGCATTTTTAATATAAATGATACAAATTTAAGGCTTATAAAGCTGAAGACATGTTTCTGGGGCATGAAATACATTTTTTTTTTTTTTTATTCATTCCAACGGTAGAACCATTTACAATAAAATACAAAACAAAAAATAGTAAAAAGTAAAGATCATGTACAATAAACATCAAAACAATAACAAAGAAACAAGTAAACAGTTAAAATTTGTACATTAAAACAATATATCATATCACAAAAATTTTAAAAAAGTATCAGTATCACTTAGTCTAGATTAATATTCAGATTCTTAAGTTGCCTTTTAAAAGCATTAATGTTTATGCAGAAAGGATCCAATAGGAGGTCATTGCAAGAGCTGAGCATTCTTGACAGGGGAAAATGACGAGCATAACCAGTCCTATGAAACAGTGCAGTGTGTCGAGTTCTATGCATTGTGTTTAAGTGTACATTGGCCAATAACGAGGGACAATTAATAACATTGTTCAGAATTTTAAACAAAAATAACATATCAGCTCTCAACCTGCGGTTCTTCAATGTATTAATGTTAAAAAGAGACATTATTATAGAATAATCTATGAAAAAATTTTCAGTATTTTTTATATTAATATGGGCTTTAAAAGCTAAAGATCTTAGAAACTTCCTCTGAACACTCTCCAATCCATCAATGTATACTTGATGAAACAGCGACCACACAACAGAGCAGTATTCAAGACCTGAGCGTACCAAAGAGCAATACAATAATTTAAATACAATAGGTGAGAGATCATAACTGTTGCAATAAATAAAACCAAGATTACGAAATCCTGTTTCCTTAATTTTAAGAAAATGGCTTCTAAATGTCAATGCACAATCCAGTAATACACCCAAATCTCTAATCTCAGTAACTGAATCCAAGAGTACATCATTAAGAATATATCTATTAGCCATTAGATTATTTATATGACCAAATGAAATACAAGAACATTTAGTTGGATTTAAGCTTAAACCATTTTGTTTTGACCATAAACATATGTTGTTTACATCATCTTGCAGGAGATCTCTATCCGATTTATTATGTATACAACAAAATATCTTAAGATCATCAGCAAATAGCAGGAAGTGTGAGTTTTGATAGCCTTACCAATATTGTTAATGAACAAGTTAAAAACAAGGGACCACAACGAGACCCTTGTGGTACACCAGAATAACAATGAAATTCTTTTGAAATATAATTGTTAATACAAACTTGCTGTGTATGTCCCATCAGAAAACTTTTAATCCAATTAACAATGGGGTCACCAAAGCCAGATGCATGAAGTTTGTGGACCAAAAGATTATGGTTAACCTGGTCAAAGGCCTTTGAGAACTCAGCGTAAACGCTGTCAACCTGAATTTTATTCTCAAATGCACCCAACAAGTATTGTTGGTAATTGAGAAGGTTTGTTACAGTTAATTTCCCATTAGAAAAACCATGTTGTTCATCACTAATTATGTTTCTGCAAGCCCAGGTGAGATTTATCGATACCAATTTATCAAGAAGTTTTGGGATTGCTGATTGAATAGTTATACCTCTATAATTGTTAACACACTCGCGATTGCCAGATTTATAGATAGGTGTAAGAAAACTATTTTTCCAATATTGTGGAAATACAGATGACAACGATAAATTGAAAATTTGTTGTAAAGGTTTACAAGGGGAAAAAATACAGTTCTTAATAAGTGCTGCAGGTATACCATCAGGCCCTGAAGAATATGTAGTTTTTAAACTGCTAATCCCCTCAAAAACATCAGTCAGACTAAACTTCAGACTCTGGAAATCCATATTATAGTCCAATTTAAAGTTAGGTACATTACACTCACTATCATTATATGTACCTGAAAAATAGCTGGCAAATAAATTGACTATTTCATCACCATTCTGAGCTATTACATCCCCACCTTTATTAGACATTACATTAGGATAAGCACTAGACCCACATGTAGTACTAACATACCTCCAAAAAAAATGGGGATTACTTGAAAGATTTGTTTGAATATTCTCTAAATAGTTCTTATAACAAACTGCTTGTAATGCTTTACATCTTTCCCTTAACACCTAAAATTCATCATATGAGTTGCCTGATGCTTTAAAATTCTTGTGAGCTATTTTTTTCTGCATGACAAGCTCAATTAATTCTCGCGAAAACCAAACTGGAAAGTTTAATGATTTAAACTGTTTGATAGGAACAAACATATTGATGGAACAAACATCATATAAAATATGGTAAAAATTTTCTAAGCAGCAATTTATATCTGATTCATCTAATACATTGTTCCAAGGAATTGAGGCTAAATATTCATTTAAAACTTGGTAATTACATTTTTTAAAATCATGATAGAAGACATCATATTTAAGAAACAAATTTAAATTGGCTTCATGTAACACTATAGTATAAGCTGAATGATGTTGCGAAGTATTCAATAAAATCTCTGAGTACAGAAAACTAGATCTAAAAATTGATTATTAAGGTTAGGCAAAGCATTTACTTGTGACATATTTTGAAAATTGTAGCAAGTACAAATAATATTTGCTGGAGAGTGATGAGGACACTCAACCGTAACACCATTACTAAGATTATCCCAGGATGCTTCAGGTAGGTAGTATTTGTGGTGTTGCTATCACCACAAATACAGAATTCACAATCACTGAATCTTTCCGCTAAGTCTAACATACAGGTGGAATGCTCCTCATATACTGACCCAGATGACTGTGGAGGAAAGTAAACTGCACCAATGATTTACTTTTTTGTGCCACACATAACCTGTGTAAAAACATGTTCCACAGAGGAATCGATAGACCTAACCAACATTGAATTAAGGCACTTATGTACAGCAATAAGAACACCACCACCACGAGTCTTTGAACTAGTTTGAAGGTCCTGTCATGTCTATACACATTAAAGTCACTCAATCCCAATTCAGCATCTAAGATTCTAGGTGTAAGCCATGTTTCAATAATAATAATAACATCATAATTAGAGAGACTCACAGCATGTCTGAAATTCTGAAGTTTAGTGCACATACCACCAACATTCTGAAAATATAAGCTCAAGGATCGTTTTTTGAATTATTGGATTTACTGACAACGATTGTGGGTACCCCATTAAAGTATTTGATCTTCAAATCATTTCCACCCTGTGTTTTTCTGAGTTCTAACTCCTGATATACGGCCTTCACTTTCTCACACTGTAAAAGGGTGAGATCCACTCCAATGCGCAAATTAGATCCCATTAAAGATCTATGTTGTTTTAAACATGAGATAACTGTTGTTGAATCATTAAATGCAACTTTAAGAGGTCTTGGTTTATCTGTTAGTCGACCAAGACGAAAAGCTTGAAAGGTGCTGTTCATTACACCTATTTTATTGAGAATTCCTTGGACCCCATTTCTATCATGTTCAGCACATATGTTAGATTCACTGGAATGATTTTCAGGTACATTATATATAATAAAATTTTTGGCTCTCCGGGTCCTATCCTGTATCTCCCCAAAAACTGCATCAGTACTTTTGATATCTGCACAATTTTGAATGTTATCATTTCCAGCATTGCTTACTGATTTGTTGCCAGTGGTAGATTCTTTAATAATCCCAAGATCTTTTTTTAGATCATCATAGATTGTTTCAAAACTTATTTTTAAACTTTTCATGTCCACGCTTATCTTACCAATTTCCTCCTCTAATTCAATAATATTCTGGGTGCTTGCAGTTTTCACTTCACTTGAAGTGGTTTCAAGCGCACTGACAGGATTGTTTAGGTCTAGGGCGTTCATAATCCCAGGTACACAATCCTTACACAAGTAAGGCATGACTCTGGTAGCTAACAATAAACATCTTATCTCCGTTGAACTAATTCCAGCACAGCTCCTGCACATCACTCTCTTGAAAAGATCACATGGGTAACCAAACACTTCACCGGAGTTCTTAGGCTCTTTACAAATGCAATTTGCACAACACTTACAACATTTGGTTTGCATTTTGAGGTTATTTTTTAGATATTTTCCAATTTACCAGTAAATTTGAAAATGTACATCAAAACTTTACTTTTTTATCAAAAAGAATTGCAAACAGTTAATATTTTTTTATTTAAAATAATTGAAAATTATGATCTTCAAGATTAATCAATATATAAAACTCTTTTCCTGAATGATATTTGAAGTAGATACATATGGTATGTTTTAAGAAAATACCTGATAACGATGTGGCGGCACTCCTGGAGGTAAATTCTGTGCACTAATAGCGAGCATAAGTATGTTCAAAACTATAAGTGAAAAACTGTATAACAACATTTTTCTTAAACTTAATAAAAGTTTAATTCAAATACTCATAGAAATGTAATGTTACGTTAAGTTCAAATTTAGGCTCTGTTAAAAGCATAGGTTTACAGGTTAAACCATTAAACACCACGTACCAGTCGTACCACGTATGTGTAGTAGCTGACACTATTAGGTGATCTGTGACTATAATAGCATGATACTATTCTTTGTTTCACGTTAAGAAAATAACATTGCGCTTATGGAGATCAGTGTTGCCAAAACTCTCAGACACTCTCTTTTGCACGGATGTCCAAGATATTCCCTTTGCTTAATTTTTGAATTTTCATTTTCAATTAATATTTAACTGTAAAGTCAGAATAACTACTAAATAAAAGTCTTATTATCATTATGTAGTCAGAGACGACATAAAATAGCAGACATACGCACATCGTATTATTTTTAAGTTGCAATTAGTAATTAGATATACGCATTCCAAGCGGTCAATATTTTCTACTGATTTATATGATTCATGGCATATCGTATTCTCACCGAAAAACAAATAAACTGTCGTTACTATAATTAAAATAAGATAAAATAAAATTATCTTTTGTAAATACTATTTATCTAATTAAAATCATTTTCCCCACTTTTCATCTCTTGTTTCGAATGGTCACTTTTGGTCAATTACGTTAAAAAACATTAATTTAATTCATGTTTGTGGAAACGAAAATACAAATTATACAAACCTAAATTGTGCTTGTGTGTGTCGTGGCAACGCCGTGTTGCTATCGTCCATAAGAAATACATGGTCCTATCTCCGCAATGTTATTTTCTAAACGTGAAACGTAGTATAAGAATACAAGATATGCTCACTTGCCGTTCTAATTTTGATCGACTTTGCGCATCGCGTCATCCTGAGACAAGGCCAGGGAGGGGACTTGTATCATATTTTAACGATGCAACATATGGCAACGTTGTTCCATTACTGTAATGTAGTGGTGGGCTTCATAGTTCCTTTCTAGGAACTAGTTCTTTAGATCTAGTTCCTAAAAAGGAACTAGTTCCTGGAACTAGTTCTTTGGAACTATGATAACTTTGCGATCAGATCGGTATGATCAATCTTGATATGAATCGGATCGAGTGTTTAGGTTTGATATTCGACATCACAAATAAAATAAAAGTAAAATATGTTAAACGATGGGAAACTAAATTCGAAGGCATTGGTTTAAATAATTATTTCACGAAAATAACGAAGTGGTTTTTTACTTTATCTAAATATATTTTGCTGAATTTTAAATCAAAATGCTAATATTTTTCTATGATTGTTGATTTGTTATTTATTTATTTTCTCTCTAAGAATTTTTTGTTCTTCAAAGATTTATTTATAAACAAAATCTGTGCGATGTTAAACACATTGTATATATTTATATTCTTTACTTACATAGCAATTTTTTTCGACATAGAAGGCAGGAAGTCGTAAAATTTAATTATATCGTTGGGTGTAAGAACTACAAACAGGATCATACTGATGTGTATCATATGATTTTTAAAAATATTTACTTTTGAAACTATAAGCGTAAGAATTTCTTAAAATTTAATCATTAAATCACAATTAAACTAAACTCTAAAAATATCATGACCAGAAAATAATTTAACAATAACTATAACATAAATATAACACGGCTACTACACACAATTATAATAAATTCATCTAAGCACAGTATAATGTATATATGTATCATAGCACACTACCACCTAGCATTGAAACTTCCGTGTTGACGAGTAAAACAATGATTGGCGCATCACCTAGTGACCGGGCGCCTAACTATAAATACATGGCGCGAAATTCAAAATTTTTGTAATATTACCTAGGATTGTGAACTCATTTTAAAGTAAAGGAAAATCGATATAATCTTAAAATAACAAGAAAAATCCTTATCCTATACGATAATAAATATTTTTCGTATACTTTTTGGGTTTTCTTGTTATGTTAAGACTATATTTATTTTACATTACATTAAAATGCCAAAGTGGTAAAAAAATTAAAGAATAAAATATAATAAAATCTTTATTTATAAAAATATTACAAGAAATGTTATATGTGTTACAAGAAATATTAATAATACAAGCCAAGTGTACTATAATTTAGTTTTCTTAATGTTGTGACAAGAACTGGTCAGTATTTAAATAATTGTTTGTCTTAGTATGTCAAGTTTTATGTAAATAGAAGCCTAATTCTGCAAAAGGCCTTTTACTACAATTTTATTCTCAAAATTTGCAAAGAATTCAAACATTGGTATAAACAATCAAGATTTTTTTAGAAAGCAATGAATCTAAAGATAAATCCCTAGAAGACAAAATAAGTACATGCTTGTAATAAATTTAGTCTATAATTACATAAGCGAAGCAATCAATGGGGAAAACCAATTGCTTTTTTCACACATACTCTCACAGATTCAGAATGAAAACATGCAAATGCATTGAAGTATTAAAAAAATGCAGACATTATCTGGTAGGAAAGCAATTCAAACCAATCACAGATTAAATCACTATTTTGTTTATATAGAATGCTGGCATATATAAAATCTGACAAGGAGAACTAGCTTTACTTCACAAGAATTTATTAATTATCTCCACTCTAAAGGAATATTTCAAGTAGAACAACACCATATAACCATGAAGGAAATGGTTAAGTTGAAAGATACAATGAGTTATATAGAAATTGGTGAATCTAGCATTGAAAACCAAATATTTAGACATCACTAAATGAAAAACTGCTTTACCAGGAGCTCTGTACTATATAAGAAGTTTACTATTGAATTGTTATATTATTGAATCACGATAATGATGAAGATGAAGTCCAAATAACACATTAGAGAATTCCACTACTAAATCAATTTCAATCTAGCTGTAAATCAGCTGGAGCTAAAAATAAACCAAGATAGTTGCAATATTTTGTTCACAAATAGGGAAGGGTAAATGTAGTATAATTTAGTGTTCTAAATCTTGTGACAAGAACTTGTCAGTAATTAAATAATTTTTTTGGAATTCTAATGTCAAATTAAAGCCTAATAAGCAACAGACAGCTGTCAGACATTCTGAGTTCTTTGTAGTACTTACATCCTAATCTAATAACACACACTAATAGTGGTCAGTGAGAACTCTTACTGTCTGGCGTTCTACACACAGAAAAACAGAACTCAAGAACTCTGCTAAGTTGGAAACAGAAAAATTAAATGATTTAGTTCTAGAAAGAACTTTATATACATTATGATAAAATTTTAGTCATATTTAAACCTATAAACCCAACAGTTAGCTCTAAGATTCTAAGATCCAGCACTATAAAGATGGAAAAATAACATTAAAAATAAAAAAATATGTAAAGTATTACCTAGTTACAATAATAATATGAAGTATTTTACAAAGTTACGTTTCCAAACTCTATCTTACCAGTAACTCTTTTCTACTAATATTTATATATTTATTTAGAGACATATTAAATACATTTAGATTTAGGTTGTTCTTTTGATTAAAAGTACATAGATGAGACAAACCATGGTAATATATGGTACTCTAAGACCAATCTCACTCACAACAAGAGAGAGACAGATCCCTCCTCGCACTTAACGGCAAGCTCATGGACCTCTCCATATGATAGTGTAGTCATGGTCTGCTAATCTAATCCAACTTTGAAACAGGCACACCTGTAGAAATTATGTCGAACCCTCTCTAAGGTGATGATTTTTTAAGATAGTTGTTGAACCACCACCTACAAAATAATTCAAATAGTAAGCAAGTAAGTCTGATTTTATAATTAGGTTAAATTTATAATTAACTAATTTTATAAGTAAAAGGTCACATACATACATATATTGGCATAATAGTTCTTACCTGGTGCTGGTAAAAACAAACTCAGAAGGGCTGTTCTCGTAATACCGGTATGTCCAACATTAATTATATCATCCTCTTTAAAATGACTAGCGCATACACGAAAATTGTTATAGTTTCTGTTGCAGCATTCTCTAATTAGGGCTTTTAACAGCATTCACCCATTTATCAAACATATCCATATTATAATCTCCTGGACTTGAAAAACGGTATTGCTTGCCAGTGGTAGCAAAGAATATAGACGCTTAGTGGTAGTGTGCTTGACTAGTATCCATGCAATCTGGAATACATCTTTTTTGTTCAGTTCTTCGTCACTATATTGTTATTCCATGTAATGTGTTCGATTCCATAATAAAAAATCGTCTAAAATTTTACCTTTTGCACTACTTATATAAAAAAATTTAAACTATAAAATAAATTATAAACAATAAAACAAATAAAAATATGGCGCCGTATTTGTCAACTTTTGATTTGACCACAGCACACTCCCTACGCGTAGAAACGAGACTAGCAGCGCCACCAAACGAATGGGCGCCTAAATCCGAACGTGATTTGACATTGCCTATCCCTGTTACCAATCTATAAATTTTATCTATGATATGTATGTATGTACCACGGTTCGTAGACTTACTCCGGTTGCCTCTTCCGACTGGGGTGGGGATGCTTGAGTTACGTCACAGGAGTACACAAGAATACAAAACCAATTTATTCGCGATTGAAACTGAATGTAGAGGGCGGGGCAGGATTGCAGTGTCATGGCCGATATAAATGGTATAAACAAAAACAAACATAACATTCGAATATTTACCATTGCTTTTCCATGTTTAGTTTGGTTTAAGACGAGTTATTTGTATCATTTAATAATGGAAATTAACCTTAATGATATCTTTGAGTATTGTGGTGAAGCAAAGAGTCCATTGGTTGAAGGGGAAGCAGTTTTCAAGTGATGAATTCCTAAATTTTAACTTTAATGTTTGGAACTGGCTTGTGTATTGATGATGAATCCTATTTTGTGTATACCTGGGAACCCAGAATATAATATTCTGTGTAATGTTTGCCTTAACGTATATATGCATTATTATATCTTATGTTTTTAATATGTTAATTTTTATTTTATACTATTTTTTGACATATGTAAGTACTTT